AACATTCAGTTTGTTTGAAAATATTACCAACTTTTATTAACAGTCTAAAATTTATGTTACAAGCGGAATTCTTGAGTTTTGTATAATAATAATATTTTATATAATAATATACAATAATGTCAAATATTTTCTTGAGAACTGTATCTCACATAAGTTTCATGAAAATCTTATTATATAAATATAATAAAAACATAAGTACAAAACCCACACGCGTATCAAAATTAAAATATCCCAGCGAAGCGACAGACTAGGCCTAAGTTTATACTTCGTCAAAATATTATTGTAAGGTTATTGTTAATATTCGCACCTTTATGTAAATAACTGTATTATGTTTTCAAATGAAAACCTTTCCAAAACAGAGTTAATCTCCAAAGTGATCAATAATATTGTGTAAACGATCTTCTTCCCTGTATCTTCCGGATAGAAAAAAGGTTTATTAAATACCGTGTAATCGATTTTCACATAAATGTTTAAAAGAGTACGTTTTGTTTGGTTAAAGTAGACGAACCTCTTTTCACTTGATGTTCTTTTAAAGAGATTTTCTTGAGTCCTTTCTAAGCTGCTGTGTACACCGGTTGAAGGGTGAGTGTACTTTCACTCTCTTCAAGTGAAGTTACACGTAGAGGCACTTAAAGATGAATGGGCAAGAGCGGTTGTGACACCTATGCACACATACGAGCGCTCGTACACCTACACCTATACATGTATCGTTCATTCATTCATATGTGTCCTCTTGTACAAACTCCTGGCATATACGTGTGCAGTATGCACGTACACACACACATGCGTGCTGACACGTGGTGATAGCTGAAGATGCACGCTCCCAGAAACCGTTCTATAGAAACGCAGGATACGCCTGCGTTCATCAACTATTATTATTGACACGAGGACAGATCTAAAGACCAATGTAGGGTGTCACGTGCCTGTAATCGGCGTGCATGCGTGCATCTATCGATTGATTTTCATGATTGCATTTGGCTTCTTGTTGGATATCAAGTTTCAGTTTCAGGTTCATTAGATTGACAATTTTCCTGACTCTGTTCACCAGTTAACTGCGTTCGACGAATATACACGTCATCTTAAAACTGTAAATGGTGCCAACTTTATCAACGATGGGTGATTTATGTTTTTAGACAAGAAGTGCATTTGGCCTGCATTTGACCGGTATACACTTCATTATTTGATTTTATTGCGCGCGCTATAAGAGATTTTCGAAACTAAATTCCGCACTTAACGAGTTAATTGTTGAAGTAATTATCAGAGCTAATCCAGCCATTTGTTTAAGAAAGTTTCTAATGAATTGATGGTAACATTCGGTTATTTAAAAAGTCTTCTCGTTATTTTTAGTGTGACGTTAGTATATAAGTAAGTACTAAAAATAAGGGAATGAAGATATTGATAAGTACATTGCAAGAAGTTGATGTTCAAAATTGACAATATACGGTGTAAAGAACTCAGATTTTATAAACTGAAAATCTGTAGTTTATGTACAGGATGAAAAATGGTTGTGGAAGATATTTATCTGGGTTAGCTCTGATAATTATTTCAATAATTGACAGGGTTAGGAAAATTCTCACTGAAATTGTAAATATGACAAGAAGGAACGCACCAAAAATGTTTAATAACTAATAGAGTCATCTGTCAATTCTCTCATTTTTGAGCAATTTTGCATTTTATTTGAGGCGTATTAAAGATACTTACCTTTTTTTACAGTTTTCTCTATTCATAGATAACTAGGTTTTTCATTTCTAGCAGAAATACTCATTCCGAATTTGTAGAATTTCTATGTAGAAAATTTTATATTTTCGGGAAGCTAAAGTCGTAAATGTCAATTACATTTTAGACAGCACGTTTGAGATTTTATTGTGACAAAAATACTTTAATCCAAAATCGTTGATTTTATGATTAAAATATGAACTGAAATGTTAGTTTGACTTTCATATGTGATATTATCTGACGTTACAGTTATATATGAGTTACTCTTTGCTTTTATTTATAAAGTCGTAATAATATAAAAATGCACTTGCTAATAAGTAATGTTAAACATCTAGTAACATATCCCTTACTCGCCCAGTCATTGGCAAAGTTTAAAATATGAACCACATTTACAAATATCATATTTTCTACCCATATTTTTATATAATTCATGTAAACTGATTCTCCGTATCTCATTATTCTCTTGCAAAGTGAAAAGTATACATTTCTTGAATTTCATTCAAATTATTTTCCATACAAGTATTAAAAGAACATTCATTATAAATAATATCACTGCCTAATTACCATGTATTGTAACTTTTAATTAAGTGAACATACGTTTAATTGTATATATATATAGTAATGAAATGATTATGTAGATAAATTATATTAAATTATTTTATTTTCGAATACATTTGATAGAATTTTCATAGTTTATTTATTATATCAATAAAACAATAAATTATTTTTAATATACGAACAATTTTAACTGTTTCACTTTCCTAAACCTCTTCGTTCTTCAAAGCATATTTTTAACTAGTTTCCATTTTACTTTGAAATATTGTGTTTTCTATTGAATTCTTTGTGCTGAATTTAACGAGAACCCAACAATGCACATGTATGTGTGTGTACGTTTCAAATGTGTAAATCTTTAATCGACCTGAAAATTGGAATTTCTGTGGTTGCTTCAAAGAGGTATGAAATTCTTTTTTTACAATTGACAAAAAGTAAATTTACAAACGCGTCGCGTTTCATACGTTAATTCAGCATTAACTTAGATATAACCTTATCGCGACACAAAGTGTATTACATTTTACTTTTCAGAGTAACTTTCAAAGAATTATAACTTTTGACATGAAGTCTATAAAAAAAGGTAAAAGAATAATTTCATTTCTACCATTTACCGTCTCGCAAAAATCACAATACAATATTTTAAATATCCATTGAGTTAAATAATTATGTCATACTATAAAACAATACAACGAAGTTGTTCTAACAATATTATTTGCCAGTGAATGTCACACGATATTATACACTTAATAACAATTGATTTGATTCTGCTGCAAATCAAACATTGGCTTCAAATAGGGCAATATGATTCATATAATGAAACCATAAATATTTTTAGCAAATAGAATGGTAAGGGAAGTTCATTGAGCATAAAAATTTAGCTCACCATTTCCAAAGCATCGAAACAAACTGCGAGTCCAATGCTCGAGGTGTAATCAAGTCTAGATGGCTCGTACTGATTGACAATTTTCCATGGCCTCTTCACCCTCCGGTACCCTTTCCTACGATCACCACACCTCACACTATCCATCACTTCAATACCCTTTTGAAATCACGTTTCGTTTCTGTTGCAAATAAAGCCGCATTCATACTAATCATTATAGTCGCAATAAAATGATTACTTAAACAAATCCGAATGAAATCAACTTACTGTTGCGTACCAAGAACGAACAGATAAAAATACTCTGCATTTTTGTTACATAAATTTTCAACATTAGAAATTTTGTTGCACAACTACAGCAGGAAATTAATTCTAACACACCTGATTCTGATATTCTTCGATAGAACTCAAAAACCAAAATAATTCACAATGATTTAGATTATACGTAGCGAGAATACTATTCGCAAACATTATCTTTTTGTGCTATATTGAAAAAGTTACTTTAACATTCAACGTATTTTTAACATTAACGCGCACATAACATTGATAAAGGACGAACGTGATAGCTCAAAAGCTAGTTTTCTAAGAATCCTTTACAATAACTTTTGGAGAAATTGAATATATTTCAAAGTAGAGATTGCAAATTATTTCTATTGCACGTGGTGGAAGATATACTTTTTAATTTGATGAATTTCAATCGAAAGCAGGGAATGTATACAAGGAAGTAGAATTTAATTAAAAGATGCATTTATAAGATAACAGTGAACGATATTGCATTTGAGCCTACCACGATCGGTATCACGTTCCGTGTAATGAACTTGCTGAAAATGAAAATGTAAGACAGGACAGAATAGCAGGGTCTGGAAGCGGCTTAATAGAGTCAAGTGCCGGACGAGAAAGAACGAATAAGAAAAAAAGACAAGCTGTGTCATCTGAAAATTGGAATATTCGTTCGCTCGATGGCAAGCCCCGCTTACTATTCGTTTAGAGATTGGTGTACAATTGAACATACCGTACTTTGGGATCTTTCGGATTAAATATGACGAAATTAACAATGATGTATACTCTCATTTGACTTATTGAAAGTGAGCGCTTGTTTAAATTGTTATAGAAATTATTAAAACCACGAATTATTAGTTATTTCTGCACTCAGAATATTCTTCAATAAATGTTTCCTTCTGAGACCAAAATATTATATTATAACTGTCGCTACGTCGTTATTATTAAAGTTTTAACATGACACACCTCGTACAGCATGGATCAGCAATTATTGTCGCTTTAATTGTTTCAAAAGCTACGTTGATTAGAACAATATGCCCTTTTTTGTGAATAGTCACTTGGGAAACTTGGAAATCATTTTGCTTTTAATAACATTGAATATATCTTTCTCCTAGCCGTTAATGCATGACACAAACGTATTAACACAAAAACAAATGATCTATAGAAACAAAACAATTACATTAGTATCACTATTAAAATAAGATTTATTCATTATCAAAAGTTGTATTGTTAAAATTGTAAAAGTATTCTTTAAAATATTTTTTTTGTAATAAATTCTTTACTTTTTCCTTCCAATCGATTCCATTTACAATAAAAATTGTTTTATCCTTTAATGATTCTTTTAAACCTCATTTATTTAAAGAATATTCATTTAATTATTACAATTTACGAATTAATCCAGGAACTGGCAACGGATAACTCACTGATAGAGATATGTTCGATAAAAACAAAGGAATAGTAGTTTGGTTTTTATAACGAACAATTTTCATTTCTTCGGACTATCGTTTCTTCGCTATTGACGAATCTCTTTGAGGATCGACAAATGTAAATACGTAGTCTTTTTACAGCCCTCCAAAGTTTGCCGCCCTAAACACAGTAAGCTCTTGAGCTACAATAGCATTGAACAATGGACGCTCGGATTAAGATGTAAATTAGTTCATAAGTCACAACATTATGCAATTGTCAGCTGCCGTGAAATACCCATTGTTATGCCAATAAACTTGAAAGATTCAAGCGACGAGTTACGAATCGAAATGGCTTTCCAGCTTATCAATATTTCTGGCCGTGGTATTATTGAAAAATATTGTTCGAGTCTTGAATTGTTTCCAATTGAAATTGTTTCTGTAAGAATTGTAGTTTTAGTAGAATAAAAAATATGATGATAATATTTATATTATTCCTTTAGGAATTTTATTAAATTACTTTTCATTTGAGGTTGATACATATCATCGAATATCATTTTCATTATATGCGAGTTAAACATTACATGTTCCCCCTGTGTGCATTCCCTGCATAAATCAGTTGTGTCCATCAGAAAACGTTGAATAAAATTGAATTGATTTTATAAAATTTTAAAAATATTAAACCTTAAAAGTGCTTGAATATTAATTTCCTATATTGTGAAGAGAACGTAAATTTTATTTTATCGTAAATCTGAAAGATTAAACGTTTGTTAAAAATGTTACGTTAAATGTTTTGCGATAAATGTCTATTAACATGTTCGTTACGTTTATAAATGACCAATTTCTAATGAATAATATTTGCCTGATGCTGAATTATTTAAATACTTCTCAATTAATTCTGTTTTAAACTTTTACGCATTATTAATTTTTGTATTTACCCGTATTAAATTTTCACTAATCTTTAATTACACATATATATGACATTTTAACTTAGGGAAATAGTTTTAATGTAAATAAAGTTTCCAATATTATAATAAATACTAATATTGTAAAATTGCATGACAATATATGTTTCTTGTTCTGAATAGATTATTATTTTCTTACTATATAAATTCTTTTTATTCCTTTCATAGATCATGGCTTTCAATAAAAAACGTGACTTATTATAATTATAATTATATAACATAAAATATTTATAGAATAACAAGCTCAATGTGTTATTACACAATGTTTGAAATTCATAAATTTATAAATAAACATTTTAATAGTGCAGTTGTTATTTCAAGAAAACGATGGTTTAATCGTACATAGTTGTGTACAATGATTAAACAACGTAATAGTACTTAGTAGATCATTGAAGTTAATCAATATCAGTTAGAGGGAAATACTGTTTTCTTACTTGCTACACAAGTATATGTATGTCATTGTAACATTGATACGCACACATTTTACTTATACTACATGAATGCCATAGGTCACTAGGTCGATGTTTTTGATTTCTAATAAAACAGTGACGTACTCGCGTATCACTTTTCTTTCCGTAAGCATGTAATATCTACATTTATATTTAACATTGAAGTTATCATATTAAATACATTATATACATACCTTGTAATAAAGATTACATTTTATAACATTAATATTTCACACACTCGTTACTTACGTTTCCAACACATTCACTGTGCATCAAGTTGTTAAACAATTTAAAGTAATCTATATATTATAATGTATATAATATCGATACATTTATGTGCAGTTTTGTTTCAGCAAATTCTTCAGATTATACTAGAGACATTAGTATCTAAAAATGAATTTATAAGCTTGATCAGTGAGACAGCACTGTATCACTGGAAATATATCGATGCGCAGTCTTTGAATAGCGTTAGTTTGAGTCGGTAGCGGCAGTGAGTTCATCCAATAATCGATTTTGTGCCTTCGTTCTTTTAGTTCCAACGTTTTCTGTTCCGCTTCTAGCAATGCTACTATTTTACACGACGTGTATCATTTGTATGTTCACAGAACTATATAACTATATTTTAGACTTTTGCTCTATTCGAGGCGTGAATCTGATACAAAAGTGATTTTGATATTCTTTAGAAAATCCAATGAATTTTTAGAGAAAAATGTTGTATTTTATGAAGTACAGCGAATAATAATATTACGTTTAATTATCGGAAATACTTTAAACGTTTTAAATACTTATCGACATTTTACGTAACGATCAGAGCGAATTTTTAATTTTATTTAAAAGGCAATTACAGTTGCATTTTCCGTTTTGCCGTACCATGATTAAATATATTATAATTAATTAAATACTTATTGGAATATTCAACTTTAAACAGCATTCATTTTAATCTATAAAGTTCGTCATATTCTCTGCTTAAAGATAATAATAATATAAATAATTAATCCAGAAAAATCCAAATTTTATTTTTCAAAAATCTACATGTTAAGTTCATATTTTTTTCCATCGGTTAATTCTATTTTCATTTACAGATTAAAGAAAGTTACCGCAAACTTCCATGTCCATTAGCATTCTGTATATAGCACATGTGTAACAATAACAAATTTTGTACGTAGATGTATTACAACATTTTTACGCAAATGTAGTATTCTTTATTTAGTATTTATAGCTGGCATGGCACATAGTGGCAATTCCACTGAAAATGAAGTTGCCTGTGACTGTCAACATTGTGACGAGGAGGCAAAAGACGAAATACAGGAAAAAGACGAAGAAGCAACGACACCGGCGTTGTACAAAGAAGATAGTGACGGTGATGGCAATCGAATTATTTGCGCCCGAGATCGTGATTTCAATGACCGAACATTTCCGAGTGTTTGTCACATGTTGTGCTACAATCGCTGTTTAATATTGCGACGCTCGACTGTTATAGAAAACAGTACGAAGAGAAACGTTGTGACCGCGTATAGAAACAGTGAGTATTCACGGTAAACTTTTACTTTCTCTTATTTAATTAGCTTGCTTCATTGTATTTTAGATTATTACAAATTACGCGACGGTGCTTGTTGAGAAATACTTTCCAGCCTACGTATACCCGCAATTATAGTGAACCGTAGCGAAGAAAATTGCATTGAGGTTAGTTCATTTTTTTCTTATATCGACGTGTATATTTTGAGGATCATACAATCGGCTTATATATTTTTATAATAAAGACAAATTATTATGGATTCGTATTATTACCATTCATAAGTCAGATTTCTGTATTGAACATTAAATTATAAAAGTGATTACCATGAGAGCTTCGTGCGTGATGTTTAAGAACATAAATTAATGTTTGGCTTACGAATGAAAGTAATTTTACAATGTAACATCATGTATCATGCATGGTCATATGGTTCATGTGTCGATTCAGTCGATATGTTAATATTTAATGTTTGGCTGATTTTACATTTATTGCATGAAAATAAAAATTTGTATAATTGTTTTATTATCGTCAACAGGTGATGCGTATATGTGATATGTTAAATCTTGGTAAATGCGAAGTTTCGGATCGGAATGTTAAGATGATTAAAGGACTCTGTCTTTTCTAATAAAAAAAAGGAAACAAAATTATAATGTCATATTATAAGGAAAATAATTTGTGTAGCTTTATTTATTTAATAACTTTCTATGTAATTTAAAATTATAAAAGCAGCATTAAACGTTCTTTTAATAAAAGGAAATATACTTAAAATAGTTGATCTCAATTTTTTATTTTCTCCTCAAAACATTATCGGACTAATAATAAATGTAATAAAATGTTAACTTTCCTCGTATTTATTACATGCACGTATAAAATATTTGTTATTAAATGTATATAACTTACACGATTATATTATTTATCTATTATAAATTATTAACATGAAAGTATTGAACAAATTCCATCAAATTATACGTATTTGACAATATCATTCCGACGATTTCGTAAACATTTTGTTAACTTAATAAAAAATTCGGTAATGACTACAACTAAAATAAATATGTAAAGGTACAAGTACGGTACATACATGTACACCAGAAAGTTTAAAACCACTTTTTCAAAAATATACTTAATTTATTACGGTAGCACGTTTTATAAAGATAAATACATAATATTCATTATCCATTTCCTTTTAATGATGCTCCTACACATCTACATTAAACCCTGTTTTCATTGTATGTAAATTAAATTTGACTTACTTTCACTTAAAACAAAAGTTAAACAACTAAAGGATATTACTATTTACGAAAATACAAAACAATAATAAAGGCAATTGGGGAAGCTTATATCATATTTTTGGGAAAGAAATCATAGGACAAGGGGTTAATTTCAATATGTCGACTATGCTCGAATCTTAAGAAGTGTACAACTATGTTGCTTCATTTTTCTGAACACATAAGTCTGTACAAATTTTTCAGTGGTCGGAAACTTTCCACTGGCAGCTACACATCCATGTCTATGGGGTTGAAGGGTAACTTGTTACGTGGAGTTAACCGTTGTCGGTTTAGTTCAGAAACTCGTCGCTATGTTGCGTGCTGACGGATTCCTTTTCTCGCTTCTGAAATTAGTATCCCGATGTAAGAAGTACTGTGGCGACGGGGTTGAAAGCATACTTACCTGGCGTAGAGGTTACCGTGATCACGAAGGCGGTTCCTCCAGGGTGAGGCTCTTCCATTGCACTACGGTTGAGCTGACCCCTGCGAATATCCCTAATGTGGATATCTCGGACGTACAATTTTTGTTAGTCGGGACTGCGTTCGCGCTCTCCCGGATAATTAAATTGAAAAAATAATTACATTATTGAAACAGGCTGTTGTGTTTTTTAAATTTAGAAGCATTTCTTGATCTTTGTGCAAAGTAAGTCTGTTTATAAATATTGAATTTTATTTGGAAATCAATTTTCTTTTGAATAAAAAAGTTATATGTAGTTTTATAAATATTGGTTTATTGAACATAATCGTTGAAGTAGACATTTTTCTTTGCTGTAAAAGTGAGTTACTGGCTATAGAACAATTCGAAAATTGAATATTTTATGATATAAAATAATGTGGTGACGAACAGCAATATATTACACAATTTTAAATTACACAATATTAATTTAACATTATTATACAATATGAAATCCTCTACAGATAAGTGTTGTTAGATTCTAGCATACTTTGATGAATACAATATCGGTTTCGAATTTTCAATATTTTAGACGCTTCCTGGATTACATTATAAATTTTTTAGAATTTCTTCCCCATGTCTTTCTGATTCATCCTTACAATATTAGTTCGAAATTTTCGAATTTTAAACGTTTCCGAAAATTACATTATAAATTTTCAACAATCCGTCTTCGTGTCTTTCTGATTCATCCTACCAATGGTACCTAGCCATGCCTCTACGTACATTCTTCTTCTATTTTTGGAGACGGTACTCGTATTACACTATTATCTAACCTCTGATGTTACTAAATATTTCAATGCAATATAAATTTTCTTATTGTAATTGTTTTCAAGCAATTTGGAAGCTCCGGTCATCGGTGACCACCGCGGCAGTCAACGGGTTAACAGTGGAATTTAGTTTACAAAATGACATTTGACGATTAAAATGATACTCTGTAATGTTTATAAGGAGTTTGTAGGAATTTTAGAATTAATTCATCTTGAGCAATTGGTTTAACACGTTTTCGACCAGCGTTTGTTTCAGTAGCAATCGTAAAATAGTAAAATAAAAACATTACAACTTTCGTAGATATTTAAAATTTAATGCTGCAAATAGCGTTCCAATTGTTCTATCATCTCAAAGTTTCATGAAAATGTGACTTACGCTAATTGACACTAATTGACCTTTTTGTATACAAGCAGAAGTGTATTGCCATTGTAACGTTCATAAGAATCCATGTAGTGCTCCTGTTAACCTTTGCACTCCGTTGGCTCTGCTATAGAGCCATAATGTGCATTACGGTTCTGATGATCAATTATCAATTGTAAAATACTTCTCTTTTTACTCGAATAACGCAAATTGACAAAAGAAATTAAGAGACGTGGAATCCATGAATATTTATTATTTTTTCTTTTTCGTATAGAAATAACTTAGGTTCTTCCAATTATATGAAATCTAGTTAAGAGTAAAACGATTATATTTATTCCATAAATTTTTATTTAATTCAGCACCTGGATGTATCGTGATATGCGAGCTACAATATGAACAGTAGTACTCAAAATTGCCGGCAGGGTGCGTCGCCGATGAAGGAATTTCTCGCTTTCAAAAGTGTGCTGTCTAGAAGTCAAGTTACGCCTCGAAGCGGCGGAAAGCATACTTACCTGGCGTAGAGGTTACCGTGATCACGAAGGCGGTTCCTCCAGGGTGAGGCTCTTCCATTGCACCAAGGCTGAGCTGACCCCTGCGAATATCCCTAATGTGGATATCTCGGACGTACAATTTTTGATAGTCGGGACTGCGTTCGCGCTATCCCGGATAAATTAATTAAAAAATTAAATACCTTTGTTTTAACTTTTTGAACCTTGTAGACTTCAATATTTTGCATCAGTTTTATAATGTTAACACATTGAATGCCATGAGGGGTTCACCGGTGACTCAACTAAATCGAATTACTACAGTTCACTCAATTAAAATGATTATTTGAAAACATTTCTATATTATAAATTATGTTACCGAATACAGTGATATTCGGCTAGATGAACGTGCAATAATAATAATGCAATTCAATCAAATGATTTAACCCTTTGCAGTCGAAGATACTTTGAAATGTACGAAACTTTCAATAGAAGCTAAATTATCTACCAATTGCATAATCAGTAGAAAAAAAAGAAACTCGCGCTGGCCTCTTGTCGTTTGAGTAATTCAATCATTCGTTTGCGATTTACTCTTCTTAATGTGAACATTTCATCTTGACGAAATGTCGACATTCGTCCGTAAAGGGTAAACATTATATTTTTTCATTTTGTGTATTTTCGTCTAAGAAATCATACGGCGTTCAACGTGTTAAATATTTTAATGGATCTTAAAGAAACTACCCTGAAATTATTAGATTCTCCACACATCCAAATTTTGGACTGAGGAGGAAAATAAAAGATCGAAGAAATCTTATGACAGTTCTCATTTTCGTTGGGAATACTATAAAAATTAGTTGCAGTTGAAATAGAAAGTTGTATTTTTAATATTTGGAAACTTTGCTTGGTTTTATAGAAATAGTTATGTTTATTAATATTTATGAGATTTTATTTGGAATTCAATTCTTATTTACTGATAATTGATTAGAAACGTGAAATATTTTTAGTTCGTACAAATTTGTCTTTACTATTCGAAACTATTCAAAAGGTGGAATATTATAAGTAAAATAGAGGACAAACATCATCGTTACATACTTTTAAGAATAGAAGTTACTTTACAGCTTATTATTGTGAAATTTCAGTATTGATATTTATATTACTGATGATTAAATGTTCAAACATTGTTCATAGTAACTCATAACTTATAAATGAAAAGATATGACGCTACTTTTATATATTTATTTATTATAAAAATTTATTTTTTCATACAACTTAGGAGAATTATAATTAATACATGAAAGATTTCTCTATTTTCTAGTACAGTTTAATTTCTAAAACTTTTTAAGTTTTTATGGATAAATTGAAAATATATACCTAAATAAATACATACGTGAACATGTTTAAAATAAATAGATAATAATGAATAATTATTTGGTACTATGGTTTGTTACACTATTATATAGTTATTTACTCTATTACATATTACATATTTTATATATTATATTTTATATCTTGTATCTTATATCTTATATTTTATATCTTATATTAGTAAATAAAAACAACAATATTAAGTACACAAAAAATACTCATTCGTAACACAAACATTAGTTCTTTTCCAACAATTCAATGTTGTTAAATGAAGGTTATTGCATTTTAAGAAAACAGATCGAAAAATTCTTTTCCTTTATAGGTTTCTATATTTTGAAATTTAGACACGTTGCCTTGTGTAGTTTGCTTATCAGGATAATAGTGCTGTATAATTATGATGCCACGTATGCAAATGAAACGATTAAATATTAGATTTGTATCTTGTTTGTGAATCTTCGTATGTAAACACGTACATATGCCTAACAATGATTTCCTATTCTAATGATCTCCTTAATGTTAATTCATGTAATCGCAATGCTATGCCCTGCAGTTGTACCAGTTGTACCATCAATGTTGACTTATCTTAATATAGTACAGAACAGCCTCTCTCCTTTAGTCAAATTAGTACGAAGACAAAAGTGTTTAAACAAAGAAAGTATTTGATAATAGAACAATAACAGTCCTCAAATGAAATTTTATTTATATAAAATAATATAACAGAAATAATAAATAACTGTTTTAATATTTTAAATTAGATTTTGCTAAAACTGTTGAAAAATTTACAGATAATCATTAAAATAAGATATTATTACTGTAAAACCTTAGTAATGTTATTTTCACTCGTAACGAAAAGTCCTCATCTCTTTCTAATTTTGTTCAATTAAAATTATGTTAAATATATTACACAGTCTTCTCATAAAATAGG